TTTCCCGGCTTCAGCAAGTCCTGGAAGCTTGAACTGTACAATGACTGTCTCTTATACACATCTAGATGTGTATAAGAGACAGCATATGATATTCAAAGGTAAATTCGGCAATAGAGCGCAAGTGTATAAGAATAATATATCAAAGACTATTATATATAATTAAATATGTAATATATTGCACAAAAATAATCTTGAATATTGACTTTTGTCTGTATGCGCATTTAATGCTAATGAAAGTACTTATATATGCATGTGTATAGAACGTATTTTAATATGTATATTTATTTATTCTTTCTTTATTCTGAAATACACTTTCAATACAATACACTGGTTTCCAAAGTGGTTCAGTTCGACACACAAAAATAAAAATTTTCAAACATAACTTAACTAATAAATGTAAAACAAGAAATTTTCATTGTAGAATTTAAGTATGTATTGTTATACAGAACAAAAGTAAAATATACATCAATAAAAGTAACTTAATAAATGTAATATAAGAGTTTATCTTTAAATTTTACATTTGGAATTACAGAATTAATTACAAAATCTGCAATAGATATGCATGCACTAATTGAAAAAGCAGGAGTGAACTTAAGGAAAGTAATATAATCAAAAATATTTCAATGTAAACTTAATTTTAAGGTAAAAGAAGATTTAATAAATTTTATGAATTTAATAATTAAATAAAGTTTAAAATAATTTGTTTGAATGTGGAAATTGTCATATCTTGGAGGTCAGTTTTCATATTATTAGGTAGAGAATTCCATAATTTGGTTGATCTGTAATTAAATGTTCTTTTACCTTGTGAAGTATTCCATTTAGGTACTACTAAATTATTATTACTTTGACTTCGTGTACATTGATTATGGCTTTCTTCAGTATAAATAAATTTGTTTTCATTCCATTTATTATTGAGTCACCTCCATCCAAGGGAATTTAAAATATTACTAGCAGGAGTCTTGATATCAACTGATAATAATATTCTACCTAATCTATTTAATAAAACTTGAAGAGAGTCTGAAAATTCAACTTTACAATTAGACCATACACAACAACAATAATCAAATAAGGGGATAACTTGTGCATTTGCCAACATATTGAGAGTGTGTGATGGAGGGTAGTATTTCACACGACGAATTATTCCAATTCGTTTTGAAATCTTTGAAGAGAGGCTGTCAATATGGTCTTTCCAGTTTAATTGGGGATCAAAGTTTACACCTAAATACTTATAAGAATTAACTCTCTCAATAATGTCATCATTATACGATACAGAAATATTTTTTAACCTAGAACTGGCATAAATAGTAGTGAAAACCATAAGCTTTGTTTTTTTTTTTATATTTAAAGTATATGAATATATATTTATAAGTATATGAATATATGTTATTGATATGTATAAAATAAATTTATAATGTTGATTATTATTGTTATTTATTATAGAAGCGAAACGACGAAAACTTGACGAGTTCTGTTCAAATACAGGTATGAACTAATTTCAAATTGCTGTTAATAATATAGATATTTGAATTGATATCGTAATAATTGAAGTTATCGATGTTCATTGTTATTCTGATTGTTTCTTCATTTTCTTCCAAGATCCAAGAATATACTGCAATAAACTTGACGAGTTCAGATGAAGTAGAGGGATGTTGGAAATGGTTTGAAATTTAATTCCAGCTATTCTGGCTTGTAGTGGAAGTGCTGCGTTAACAACCTCCGTGTTTTACTGCTCTTGAAATAAAAATAAACTCTGTGTTGTATGTGCCAGAAAAAAATAGAGAAACTGTAGTTGTTCCTTGAATGACATGTACAGTATTAATATGATGTTATTAAAAGTGACTGGAAATAAATAATAAAGTAGATTCATCAACAAGACATACGTAGGCTTACTGACAAGCAATGCACACAAGCATTCACACTGTTATTGTTGAAATATGAGTTTGCTAATAAAGAAAGGAAACGACAGTATTTTCTTACTTTTATTCATTGATTTATATAGAGGCAAAAGTTTCCCCTCTGCTTTTTTGTAAGGGCTTGGGACCTTCAAATACAAAGAGCAAGGATTTGACCGTAGAATATATTATTATATGTTAAATTAGAGAATGATTCAAATTAGAGAATGATTCACTACCTACTAAAATCGTTGCTCTTTGAATTTGGCAGCATTAAAAACTTTTTGATAGTTGTACAGCTGTCTCTTATCCACATCTAGATGTGTATAAGCAGGAGTCTTGATATCAACTGATAATAATATTCTACCTAATCTATTTAATAAAACTTGAAGAGAGTCTGAAAATTCAACTTTACAATTAGACCATACACAACAACAATAATCAAATAAGGGGATAATTTGTGCATTTGCCAACATATTGAGAGTGTGTGATGGAGGGTAGTATTTCACACGACGAATTATTCCAATTCGTTTTGAAATCTTTGAAGAGAGGCTGTCAATATGGTCTTTCCATTTTAATTGGGGATCAAAGTTTACACCTAAATACTTATAAGAATTAACTCTCTCAATAATGTCATCATTATACGATACAGAAATATTTTTAAACCTAGAACTGGCATAAATAGTAGTGAAAACCATAAGCTTTGTTTTTTTTTATATTTAAAGTATATGAATATATATTTATAAGTATATGAATATATGTTATTGATATGTATAAAATAAATTTATAATGTTGATTATTATTGTTATTTATTATAGAAGCGAAACGACGAAAACTTGACGAGTTCTGTTCAAGTACAGGTATGAACTACTTTCAAATTGCTGTTAATAATATAGATATTTGAATTGATATCGTAATAATTGAAGTTATCGATGTTCATTGTTATCCTGATTGTTTCTTCATTTTCTTCCCAGATCCAAGAATATACTGCATTAAACTTGACGAGTTCAGATGAAGTAGAGGGATGTTGGAAATGGTTTGAAATTTAATTCCAGCTATTCTGGCTTGTAGTGGAAGTGCTGCGTTAACAACCTCAGTGTTTTACTGCTCTTGAAATAAAAATAAACTCTGTGTTGTATGTGCCAGAAAAAAATAGAGAAACTGTAGTTGTTCCTTGAATGACATGTACAGTATTAATATGATGTTATTAAAAGTGACTGGAAATAAATAATAAAGTAGATTCATCAACAAGACATACGTAGGCTTACTGACAAGCAATGCACACAAGCATTCACACTGTTATTGTTGAAATATGAGTTTGCTAATAAAGAAAGGAAACGGCAGTATTTTCTTACTTTTATTCATTGATTTATATAGAGGTAAAAGTTTCCCCTCTGCTTTTTTGTAAGGGCTTGGGACCTTCAAATACAAAGAGCAAGGATTTGACCGTAGAATATATTATTATATGTTAAAATAGAGAATGATTCAAATTAGAGAATGATTCACTACTAAAATCGTTGCTCTTTGAATTTGGCAGCATTAAAAACTTTTTGATAGTTGTACAGTGACTGGACATCAATTCCGCAGAATCAATTCCAAGTTTAGATGGCATTTCCTCCATCAAGGGTACATAGACCACTACATACCCCATATTAAGGTGTTTTAAACACCCCATTCCAGGTTGTTTAGACACCGCCCAATACTCGGTACTCAGAACTTCTTGTGTCTGTAGAGGCCGGCTGATATCAGTGGACGGCTCTTGCATCGGGTGCACACAAGCTTGATGAGCCAAGTCTTGCGTGGCAACCAAAGGAGGAGACGGTGGTCGAAGTAGCGTTCGGCCTTGGGAATGCTTTTGCAGAACGGACCCGGTTGAGGTGGGTGAAACCAAAGCTGTGTGAGTTTTGTCGAATCCAACTCAGCGGTCCCCTTCTTCGATTCCTGGAATAAGGCTTTTGCTATCCATTGCTGGTCGATCACGGGCAAGGTCTGCTTCCATCCTTCCGGTACGAGGCAGCCTGAAAGCACAAACAAAACAGTTTTATTCAATGTGCGATCTAGTCATTTTTAGATATCAACGTAAGGAAAAATATTTACCTTCGCTCCGTGAGCCAGCTGCTGACGACGGCACTGTAGTAGCAGGTTCAGCAGGGGCACCAGGTTGGGCTGTAGGATTTTCAGGGAAAAAATTAAGGATTCTTAAAAACAACACAACAACTGTTTATGTACACACATAGCATTAAAAAGGATACAAAATGCATTATGATTAAATCTACAAAAAATATTAGTAATGTCTATTGTTTTTCAATGCATTGATAGCAGTTCAGAAAAAAAAAAAAAAAAAGAATTATGCATACAATATGTGTTAATAAAGATACTACTAAAACATATGATATGATGATCATCATCGTCCCACAAAATAAATTGAGAATTTTTGGCAAAAGCACAATAGTAATTAGAAATATTGATAGCAGTTAAAAATGTATTTCTACTCAAGTTTATAATTTATTAACAATCAGAAAGTTTAACCCACTACACGAATATATGCAAACAAACATATAACATCACAAGACATAACAAGTAGACATGTGTGGCAAACATAGCAGTCATTCTCATTTGCTACCTAATGAAGCATTTTTTTTTTATAAAGCAAAAGCATAATTTAAGATTCAGTATAATAAAAAAAAAGTCAATTTTTACATCCATAACAGCGAGCAGTTGCTCGTCTGTGAATTCCTCAACAGGCTGTATTTCAAAAACTGGAGTACGGACAGGTTGGGACGCAGCTTGCGTCGTTGGGCGCTTCCTGAGGCGTTCTTTTTCTTTCATCGCTATGGCTTCTTTGCCTTCAGGAAAAGACTCCAAGTACTTCTTAAAGTGCTGGAAGCTTGGTCTGAACATCATCCTAGTTGGCTGCACCTGCAAAACTCAAAAAGAAAAGAGATCACAGGCAAAGATATGTGTTATTAAACTAAGCAATAAAAAAGAAAAATGTTACCATACAACGCCAACGTGTGAGCTACACAGCCAGTAGTATTAGTAAACGCCTGCAATAAAGTAATGATATAAAAGTTAAATGTATAAATAAATGTATCAATAAAAAATATATCCACTAATAAATTTTGTTTATCTGTCTACAGGACAAACTATCTGTTTAAATAACACAGAAAAATCACTGAATAGCCTTACAATTATCAGTCAATTAATGAATGAATGAATGGATGGATGGATGGATGAAGGGGACCGCAATAAATAACATCTTTGATGTCGCCGACAAACCTACACAAGCTTATGAATGCACCATACTGGGTTGGAACAATCCAATGGTTGCCCTATTCAAACTAGAGACACGCCACATTTTGCATCACGTGTACCATTTTATTGCATCAAGATACGGTACCGTAGATATGAATGACCAAGAGATGTTTAAAATCAACACAACACTACATGAATGTATTAGAAATCACGACCAACAGGAGTGTTTACTTTACTGCACCATTTGAATATTTCAAGACCTTACATCCACAGCAAATATCTAAGACAGAGAGTGTTTTAAAGTATAATACGTAAGTCATTATCTTATTCTTTCTTTGAAGATCAGGTTTTAAAATTAACATGTCTTGTATATATTAAGATGTGATATATATATATATATATATATACATGGATATATATATATATATATATATATATATAAACTAATTAAATGTGCTTTGAAGCGACAAAGAGTGCTCAATTGCAAATTGTTGCAAGAGCAAAATATTTATTTATTTATTAGTAGAACACAACCGTCTACTACACGGTTTTTCACAGTTAATGTGATCCTCAAGTAGACTGAATATAAATCTGTACAACACATATAGCTTTCAATCATCAGGTGGTAGGTAGATTTTCCTATTGTTACAGTGGCGTCATTTTATTAGTTCAGATCTTTTATTTAACCTGTCTCTTATACACATCTAGATGTGTATAAGAGACAGGAAGTTGCTCGTCTGTGAATTCCTCAACAGGCCGTAATTGTAAAACTGGAGAACGGACAGGTTGGGACGCAGCTGGCGATGCTCTTGTCGTTGGGCGCTTCCTGAGGCGTTCTTTTTCTTTCATCGCTATGGCTTCTTTGCCTTCAGGAAAAGACTCCAAGTACTTCTTAAAGTGCTGGAAGCTTGGTCTGAACATCATCCTAGTTGGCTGCACCTGCAAAACTCCAAAAGAAAAGAGATCACGGGCAAAGATATGTGTTATTAAACTAAGCAATAAAAAAGAAAGATGTTACCATACAACGCCAACGTGTGAGCTACACAGCCAGTAGTATTACTAAACGCCTGCAATAAAGTAATGATATAAAAGTTAAATGTATAAATAAATGTATCAATAAAAAATATATCCACTAATAAATTTTGTTTATCTGTCTACAGGACAAACTATCTGTTTAAATAACACAGAAAAATCACTGAATAGCCTTACAATTATCAGTCAATTAATGAATGAATGAATGGATGGATGGATGGATGGACAAAGGGGACCGCAATAAATAACATCTTTGATGTCGCCGACAAACCTACACAAGCTTATGAATGCACCATACTGGGTTGGAACAATCTGCACAGGTGGTCCTTAATTATTTCTTAAGAGGATTAATTACTTAAACATATTCAGATCTAGGCCTAGAGCCTAGCTTATTATTGAATGTATAAAAATACTGTATAGCATTGTTTAAAAAATAAAATAAAGTATATGCACCATTACAGCAACATAGGCTTAAGGCCCGAAACTAGACCCACGTTAAATAATAGGCTAGGCTAGGCCTGCAATATGCTAAACTTAATTTATACACCGGCCGAGCACACATAGTAACTACGAAAAATAACAAACACGAATTGAAAATGCAATTCTGCTGAGAAAATGCACTACAACAGTTAAAATTACCAGAAAAACTAGGCCGCAAACCAGCCTTGCCATTGACCACCCTCGCGGGGCCGAGGTGGGCCTGGCAGCCTTTGCTAGGCCGAAAATTTTGTCAAACTTTAAATGCCGTTTTCTTGCCTAAAATCGATTTCGTTCTTACCTGGATTGCACGCACACTTTCTGGAACAATTCAGCTACCACAGGATCAGCTTCAAGTCAGTTTGCAATGTCTGGAAATCGTTGAAAATCAAGAGAGTTTGCCGAGAGATATTGCCGCAGATGAATCTGAACAAGATCTCCCAGATTTCCAAAAGTGTTTCAATTTTCCAAATTGGAACATCAATGACGTAATGGAGCGGGCCTCTGATTGGCTGACAGACTCATTATGAATTGGAACATCGTTCCAATACTGTTCCAATTCTGCCGCCACCTGGAGGTTATTTTGAGCGCAATGCAAGCATATCCCAACTAAACCACGTGTTGACGTTCACGTCGAATATCAATAACCGCATGGTTCACTCGCTGAGGTGATTCCCTCCGCTGGTAATAAATGCAACATAATTCGGTTCGGAGAAACGATTGGTTGAAATTGATTAGTATCAAACTACGGAAATTAAACATATGTTTAAGATAAGTTTATTTTATCATTCTACCAAAATTTGAGTTTTTCCAGAACTCTTGGCAAGGGTCGTAAACAGACAACGAATGTAACCTTCCGCGGCGCCAAGGCCCAAGGTTTGTCACGTCTCACGATGTAAAAAGGGGATTTCCCCAAATCGTCACGCACTGCGCTAACATCGCTCCATTCAGTTCCTATAAAGGCCGTTTTCCACTAGGGCCTAGGCGAATTTATTCGCGCGAATAGAAAACTTTTACCCCCTTTACGCATGCGTAATTGAGAATCAATTCTCATAAAAGCCTCATTCTCATAAAAGGCAACAACAGTGCATGGTCAGAGGCAGAGAGGCAGGAAATAATAGACACTGCACTTGTAAATTTTATGGGAGATAAGCGACGTAAGTTGCGAACAGAATTAGAGGAAGATTCTCCTGCCAAGAGACCAAGAATTCCCCCAGCCACTGAAAGCAGTGAAGTAGAAGCAAGTAGTGATAATGACAACGATAGTAGCAGCAAATCCGACAGTGGTGCTTCAGAGCCTGAAATAAACTAAATACAGAATTATTCTAAAATGGACTGCAGTGCATCAAGCTGACAGTGTAAATGTTTGACGTCTAGAAACATGCAATGGATTGAATTAAGAAAATTGAAATTAAAAGAAAACAGAAATTATTGCAATAAATCATAGTTACAGTAATGGTTTTTTTTTAAATGGACAAATTTAGGTCTATTGTCTAATGTTCAGCAAGTATTAAACAGTATAGAGTTAGAAAATTAGAAATGGATGTTAAACAAATAATTTATTTTAGATTTAGAA